CCACAGGCGCCCGCCACAACGCCCGGCTATTTTTTGGTTGCAGCCGTCATTGTTGTTTGGCGGGTCCGGGCTGGGGACTCGAACCCGCCACCTTAGGTGTACGTGGCTGGCGCCTTAGCCGGTTGAGCTATAGGCGCCGAGCCTAGTTTTTCTATTCTTATAGAGATAGGGGTCTCACTCTTGCTTAGGCTGATCTTGAACCTGTGAGCTTAGGCAATCTACCCTTCTAGGCCTCCCAGAGTGATAGGATTATAGGTATAAGCCACTGTGTCCAGCCTTAAACTTCTTACTGATATCTACATTAGCAAAGTGTCTGTAGAAGTGTACTTCACTCTTCAATGTGAAAGATATTTCTGTAATGCGAGCCACTTACTTGCACTCTTTAAGGCCATTACAGACAAATCACAAGGTTCTAGCATAACTTTAGTTGGGCCTGGGCTCAGTGGCTCCTGCCTATAATCCCAGCACTCTTGGAGACCAGGCTGAGTGGATTGCTTGAGCTCAGAAGTTTTGAGACCAGCCTGAGCAAGAGGGAGACCCCGTCTCTACTGAAAATACAAAAATTTAGCCAGGTGTTATGGTAGGTGCCTGTAGTCTGAGCTACTTGGGAAGATGATGCAGAAAATCACTTGAGCCCAGGAATTTGAGATTGCTGTGAGTTAGGCTGATGACGTGCATTCTAGCCTGGCAACAGAGTGAGATTCTATCTCAAAAGAAAATTAGAAAAGAACTTTACTTGGAAGAGCCTGGGTCTAAGGGTCCTGCAAAGGGGCTTTGGTTTAATTAGAGTGTTTGATTTTTAGGCTCTGTCTAATGTTCCTCCTCTTCGGAACTACTTCCTGGAAGAAGACAATTACAAGAACATCAAGCGTCCTCCAGGTGATATCATGTTCTTGTTGGTCCAGCGTTTTGGAGAGTTGATGAGAAAGCTCTGGAACCCTCGGAATTTCAAGGCACATGTCTCACCTCATGAGATGCTTCAGGCTGTTGTCCTTTGCAGCAAGAAGACTTTTCAGATCACTAAACAAGGTAAGGAACAAGTCATTCATATTTCTCTGACTTCAGGACAACAAAACTAGTTTGATGAATAAATTTATTTCTACTTTGCAATGAATATTGATAGTAGCCAGAAGTGAGTATCCAGTGGAAAGTGTGGTTATGTTCCTTAGTCCTCTCTAATCATTCTGCCCTGCCCGGTGTCTCAGGAGATGCCAGCTGAATAGAAGGTCCATCTTAATTTGGTAAACTAAACAGTATGGCTTAGGGGAAAACTAGGTGGCGGAGAAAGGCACCAGCCCTCATTAAGTCCCTCTGCCTTTTGCTACTCATTTTGTCATGTCCTACACTAGGCTGTTCTCATGAACTATTTTGATTGTTTTTATTTCTCCAAATTCAGTTTGCCATTGCATTGTGAGTAAAGTGGACACTGTAACTCTTCATACCAGGGTGTTCTAGCATCCATATCCGCTTATTCAACATTTATTTATGGTGACATTTTGGGAGCAGCAGGGATAAGAAACATGGTTTTTCTCTTTGCGGAGCTCAGTCTAATGTGGAAGATACTGATGTCAAAAAGTAAAAGGGCCGGGTGCAGTGGCTCACTCCTGTAATCGTAGCACTCTGGGAGGCTGAGGCAGGTTGATTGTTTGACCTCAGGAGTTCAAGATCAGCCTGAGCAAGAGTGAGACCCTGTCTCTACTAAAAATAGAAAAATTAGCTGGAGGTGGTGGCACACCCCTGTAGTCTCAGCTACTCAGGAGGCTGAAGCGAGAAGATTGCTTGAGCCTGGGAATTTTTTTTTT